TTGCAGGCAACAGCTTTGTCCTGATCGTCATGTGTTTACAGAAAGGACGTTGCACGGTGCCAGAGCTCTACCTGGGGAGTCTCGCTGGGGCTGACCTGCTCCTCTTGGCTGGCCTCCCCTTCTGGGCCGTTAACATTGCCCTACGCTACAAATGGCCCTTTGGAGAGTTCCTGTGCCGTTATGTCAACTCGGTGATTTACATGAACTTTTACAGTAGTGTCTATTTCCTGGTGATGGTCAGCATCGACCGCTACCTCGCTCTTGTGAAAGTCCTACATCACGGCAGAATACGGACACTCTCATGTGCTAAGGCCAACTGCTTCATTATCTGGATGTTCAGCTTGCTGATGAGTAGCCCCAGCATCATATTCCGAAGAGTGATCTATGTGAAAGAATTGAACATGTCTGCCTGCCTACTCAATTACCCTAATAATTACTGGGTAGTGAAGATGGACATTGTGATGATGGTCATCGGCTTCCTCATCCCTGCAGCCATCATCAGTTTCTGCACCTTTCAGATCCTAAACGTCCTGAGAAACAACCAAATGCAACGCTTCAAGCAAGTGTGCAAAGAAAACAAGGCCACCAACTTGGTCCTCGCTGTCCTTTTGGTCTTTGTCATTTGCTGGCTGCCTTTTCAATTGTTCCGGTTCCTCAGGATCTTTCAGTTTACAAACATCCTGCAGGGCTGCTCCTTAACAAGTGCAATTAGTAATGGCAATCAGATTGCTAGCTTCTTGGCCTGTACCAACAGCTGCATCAACCCTGTGCTCTATGTCCTTGTTGGAAAGCAGTTCAGGAAGAAAGCACGGGAGCTGTGGGTCCGAGCCAGGGGCAAGTCATTAAAGACTTTTGGTGACTCCCTCGCAAACCGTACCACATCAACAGAGAGTTAACATCTTGATAGGAGTAGAGATGAAGCCACCTCTCCAACCATGATCCTGTCGTCTCACATTAGCTGTGATTGTTGTGTTTTCTTTCTTTCTGCAAGTGACAGGGTAGGCTGTTGCAAAATGCATGTAAATTTTGTAAATTATTTCAAGGAAGGAATGGAATGTATTAGATATCAGTCAGTTCCCAGGTCTGTCCCTGATCACTTTCTCGATAGTTGCTTTAAACTAGGGAACCAGCAGACAAATGTGGCAATATCCAAGGCCCCTGGAGGATAAGGAAGAAATTTGTGAAGGAGCTGTGTGGGTCCTGGTTGTTGATTGTCTGCAGGGCTCCAGCTGAGGACAAGGTCAAGATCAGCCACTATGCCAAGCACAATACTTAACTCCACCTTTTGAGCCCCACTCACACTTTGAGAATAAATTGGACGGCCAATGGTGTCAAAAAAAAACAAGCTGTTTAACAACTTCCAGAAGTAGGAAAACGGCATTGTTTCGGAGTGGATTTTTCATTCAGATTGTATTATTGAAACAGAGAAATCCAGATTGCAATGTAAATGAATTAACCGTACTCTCACTGTGGAAAGAGGAACTGGAGGAAGTCTCAGAGTCAGTTAATTGAATCATGGAATTATACAGCCATTGAGGGAGGCTATTCAGCCCTCATGGTTTGATGGGTGTTTGGCTGAGTGAGTGAATTAGTCCCAGTCCCTTCACTATCCCCATAGGCCATCAAACTGTAACTATTTGCTGTACAATCTGGTGAGAAAATCCCATATGGGATAAGCCCTTTAGGACTGAGCTGAATAGAAATATCTTCACTCAGAGTGGTGGACCTGTAGAATTCCCTGCTACAGAAAGCAACTGCAGCACAAAACATTGAATGTTTTCAAGAAGGAGTTAGATCTATTTCTTAGGATTGAACGGGATGGAGAGAAAGCAGGAGCTATGCAAATTCTCTGGAATTGTCACAAGGCAGTTTAACATGGGCCTGGAAAAAGCCAATTTTGCAGGATAGTGAAGATCGTGTGTAACTAATTGGATAGCATAGAGACCTGTTGTAGTTCAGTAGTAGTGTCCCTGACCCTAGACCTGGAGGCCTGTGTTAAAACCCCAACTGATTAGAAAAGTAGGTTAAATAAAAAACAATCATATAGCTCTTTCAAAAAGCTAGCACAGGCAGGAGAGGGTACATGGCTTCATGATTTTATCTCTTTAAGGATAGAAAGAAACATCAAGATGTATTTGAAATATTGCAAACCACGTGCAAGGTTGATAAACAGGGAAACAGAAACAGGTAACATGGGAGCATTACAGCTCAGGTATTAGAACGAGGCTCCACGCAGTTTAACAATGCAATGTTTTCTCAAGAACGTTCTGGATGGCTGGTTACACGTGTGTCAAGGATTCAACGCAAACAATTTGCAGTTATGTAGTATCTATGGCATGGTGCAACAGGAGTAATCCTGTGTTCATGTGACGTTGAGTTGATGTAATGCTGTTTGATCTCATAACTAATAAAATGTCAACTTGTTTAGGGTAACATTAATCCTGGATCTTATGATATTATGTGTGTTATTATGGGTGTGACAATAAATGAATGATACTTCATATTTACCTGCCTTCTGAAAATGTCTGACTTCTTTAACAAGAGGATCCATTTGAATCGATTCAGTGGGTAGTGATTCAACTAGTGCTGGAGAAACTCAGCAGGTCTGGTAGTGGAGAGAGAAAACCAAATTAATTTTATGAGGTTCTGATGAAGAGTCAACGGACTTGAAACATTAACTCTGTTTTCTCTCTCCACAATTGCTGCCAGACCTGCTGAGTTTCTCCAGCAATTTCTGTTTATATTTCAGATCTTCAGCATCTTCAGTTCTTTGTCTTATTTTCATGTTCCAAGTGAGTTTGCCCTTGTTTTTGAGATCTACTTTGCACTGAATAACCTAAGGCACTTGAGGCATCCAATAAACCTTTGACATGGGAACTAAATTAACTCTGCTCTCTGATGCTGAGGTGAAAACTCAGCTGCTATCTTTTTGTTAATGTTTCTTGTGTAGTTCCTGCCCCTTTACCACACAAGGTACAGTCAAAACCTGGGATACCTTTGCTGAAAAGCTGTTAGTGCAAAAGGCCACCTGAAATTTACAAGACTGAGATTCAGGTTCTTTTGTTGGGTTATGTATCACGAGATATGGAGCTATGGCTTAGACAGGTGTGTAATAAGCAAGGGGCAGCATGTTGGCTCAGTGGTTAGCACTGCAGCCTGGGACCATAGTAGCCCAAGCCAAACATAGACACGCATGGGAGTTCCTAGTGGCATGGTTCTCCACCCAAACTTCAATCAACAAACATGTAGAATTGGACCCCATATATAAACCCATACAGATCTAAACCGGAAATGACAGTACTCCCCATAACGGACCAAACAGTATAAATTCCAAGTGGAGTAGAACAACATCGCTTCATTGGAGACTCCACTGACATTGTTAACTACCATGGTGACGAAACGTCTGAACGAGAACAAGCCAGCTCGGTGAGTAAGTCAACAACCTCACTGCTGCCTCACAGTGCCTGGGACCTGGGTTCAATCCCAGCCTCAGGTGACTGTGTGCAGTTTGCATATTCTCCCCATGTCTGTGCAGGTTTCCTGCAGGTGCTCCAACTTCATCCTACACTCTAATGATGTGCAGGTTAGGGTGGATTGGCCGTGGGAAATGCAGGCTTAAGGGGATAGAGTGGGTGGTGGGAGATGGATCTGGGTGTGGACTTGATGGGCTTGTCAGGCAAGGAAAGCTATCAGTTGTATTTCTATACAGCCCATGCCTGAGGGGCTCTTGGCGCACAGTGGTAATGTCCCTACCTCTGAGCCAGAAGTTCAACCTGCTCCAGAGCTGTGTAATAACAGCTTTGAAAAAGTTGAGTGGAAAATGTCTCCCTTCAGAGCCTGAGGGAGACATCCCATTTCAGCTCATCAAACAGGATGAGGGAAGTGAAAGGGTCGATATGATGCATGAGTGGGTAGAGCAAGGAAAGGGATTCAATTCAGACACAATTAGATCAATCTGTGTATGATTATTATAAAAATGAGTGTTTCTTTAAAGTAAATAGGGAGAGCAGACCAGACAGAATATCAAATCTCACTAATAAACACAGAAGCATCTTCATCATAGGAACAAAAGGGGAACTTTGGCCAAAGAAGTATGGAGACAGTTCATCGCTAACTTGTTCTCTCAGAAAGAGAATCCAGAAGGGTTTGTATCTAAGAAAGGAATGCAAGATGCTTCCAGTTGAAGAACAGTCATCGTAGCTCTAGACTTGTCAGCCACATAGTTTTGTGGGACCTAACAATGAAAAGGTTGCAAATGGAAAATCCAGGGAATTCAGAGGGCCAGAGAAGGTACAAACTGATGCAACAAAATCTGGGAAAAGGAGGAAGACATTCCACAGATAACATATAACAATTAAAATTTGACTTGTTGTGATACAAGAGAATGTGGTGAGTTTGATTCAGAATTTTCTCAGTGACAAGGCAAAGGTCATTGGATTTTTTGGAAATGGAAGGTAATTCGATGTCTGTCATTGGGAAATTGTTAGAATCCATTGTTAGAAAAATCTGTTTCCCCTAGCAGAGATTTCAGTTACCAGGGGGCACAGATTTAAGGTGATTTGGCGAATGATTTTGAAGATATCCAAAATCCTTCTTCTCCCAGAGGGTGCTGGGGGTTTGAAAATTCACTGCCCAGTTTGGTCATTAAGGTGCAAACCGTATACCCTTTAAAGAGGGACTTGGATCTGTTCCTGAAAGTGTTGGAACCTGCAAGGCTCCTGACCAGGGGCTGGACAGTGGAATTAGAATGGGTGGCTAATTAATTCAGCTGGCATTGACACAATGGCCTGGATAAACATAGAACGGTACAGCACAAAAACAGGCCCTTCGGCCCACCATGTCTGTGCCAACCATGATGCCATTCTAAACCTATCTGCCTGCAGATGGTCCGTTTCCCTCTATTCCCTGCCTGTTCCTCTATCCATCTAAATGCCTCTTAAATGTTGCTATCATCTTTACTTCTACTCTGACTGCATATTCCACACATCTACCACCCTCTGTGTAAAAAAAAATGCCTCGCATGTCTCCTTTAAACATTCCCCCTCTCACTTTAAACCTATCTCCTCTCATATTCGACATTCCCACCCCAGGAAAAAGACTCTGACTATCCAGCCTATCCATGCCTCTAATAATTTTATACACTTCTATCAGGTCACCCTCAGCCTCTGACGCTCTAGCAAAAACAATCCAAGTTTATCCAACCTCTCTTTGTGGGTAATACACTCCAAACCAGACAACATCCTGGTAAAAGAGATAACAAGGTATAGAGCTGGATGAACACAGCAGGCCAAGCAGCATCAGAGGAGCAGGAAAACATTGGTAAACATTGGTAAACATTGTTTGCACCCTCTCCAAAGCCTCCACATTCTTCCTGTAATGTGAGGGCCAGAACTGCACACAATACTCCAAATGTGGCCTCATCAAAGTGTTATACAGCTGCAACATGACTTGCTAACTTATATACTCCATGTCCTGAATGATGAAGGCAAGTATACCATACACCTTCTTTACCACCTTATCCACATGTGTTGCCGCTTTCAGTGAGCTATGAACTTGCACTCCAGGATCCCTCTGTATATCCATGCTCCGAAGGGTCCTGATGTTTACCGTATACTTTCCTTTTGCTTTTGACCTCCCAAAATGCATCACCTCACACTTGTCCATCTGCCACTTCTTTGTCTGACTTTCCAACTGATCTACATCCTGCTGCATCTTTGACAAACCTCTACCTCACATCTCCACCAGTCTTCACATCATCTTCAGACTTACTAATTATAATACTTACATTTTCATCTATGGCATTTTATATCTATTACAAACAACAGAGGTACCAACATTAATTCTTACTAAACACTACTGGCCACAGATATTGAGTCAGAAAATCCCCCCTCACAACTACCTTCTGCCTTCTATGACCAAGCCAATTTTGTATCCAATTTGCCAATTTAATGTGGATCCCATGCGACTTAGTCTTCTGGTCCAACCTGCCATGACAGACCTTGTCAAATACTTAATTAAGGGCTATGTAGACAATATCCACAGACCTGTCTTCAACAATCATCTTTGTCTTTTTCTCAGAAACCTCAATCAAATTTGTGAGACAAGAGCCTCCCTGCACAAAGCGATGCTGATTATCCCTAAAATGTCCATTCTTTTCCAAATGTGAGTGAATCATGTCTCTAAGAATCTTCTCCAGTAATTTCCCTAGCACTGATGCAAAGTTCACCGGCCTATAATTTCCTGGATTATCTTTGTTGCCCTTCTTAAACAAAGGAACAACCTTGGCTGTTCTCTAGTTTTCTGGGATCTTGCCTGTAACTAAAGAGGATACAAAGATCTCTGTCAAGGTCCCAGAAATCTCCTCCCTTGCCTCTTTCAGTATTCTAGGATAGATCATATCAGATCCTGGGGATTTATCTACTTAAATTCCTCAAGACACCCAACACTTTCTGCTTCATAATATCGATATGCCTTAGAATATGAAACATGGCTTTCTCCAATAGAGCCATAGAGTCACACAGCACAGAAACAGACACTACGGTCCAACTCATCCATGCTAAACAGGTTTCCTAAACTGAACTATCCTCATTTGCCTGTGTTTGGCCCCTGTCTTTGTACCTTTCCTAACCATCTACCTGTCAAAATCTCTCTTAAACATTTAACTGTACCTGCTTCCACCACTAAAAAAACCCATCAGCTTGTACAAGTCCGACCTACCCCAAACACTGTCCCAATTATCCAAAAATATATAGCCTTCCCTCCTACTGTCTGTCCTTGCAATTGGAATGTTATTCATTGGTCTGGAATGACACTTTAACAGATTGAAACTCTATTAAACTGGCTGTACAGATATAAGAGCATAGAAGAAAGAATAGGCTATTCAGCCCCTCTAGCCTACTCACTATTCCAGATCACAGCTCATCTGCCCCAATGCCATATTCCTGTGCTATCCACACATCTTGATTTTTGACGATGGTGGTGGAGTAGCTGGGTCTGCGTGCGGGCTTTGAGCCTGGTGCTCACCTGCTCCTGTCTTTCTTTGCTTTTTATTTCTGCCCTTTTTATTTTCTTTTTCTTCCGTTTTTCATTTTGTTTAAATCCTTTTGCTCGAAGCGGGTAAATCTGTGGCATCGGCACGGGCTGTGTACGGAAAGGCAAGCTGCCTCTCAGTGATTGGGGGTGGTGTGGGCAGCAGTAGTAAGGACAGTGGCAGTGGACTGGACTGGCAGTGGAGACAGGGCCTCTGGGTTGCATTAGGCCCAGAGCGGGGAGTCCTGGCATTGGCAAGGTGGCAGCGGAAGTGTGGTATGCCCAGAGCAGGAGCATGAACAAAGCGATAGTAGAGCCAGGGACTTCTGGTTGTAATTGATGAAGCAGCAGCGGCAGCTCATGGTTGTGGTAGGCCCAGAGTCCTGGCTTTCGGCAAGGCAGCGGGGTTGGGCACTCCTGGTTGCAGGGCGCATGTGACCCAGTGTTGGCATCGCTGAGGTGTGCCCAGTGGCAAAGA